TTTTAAGTTTTTAGTCTTGCTATAGGGTGCATACACTGGCCAGAGAGGGAAAGTGAGAAATCAGCACCCCCTGTCGGGGGTGACCACACCACAGTTCCCTCTCCTGCATTCTCTCAGGATTTTGAACACATAGGTACATTCGCCTCATGTGATTTTCTTTTTTTTTTTCTTGGAGAGATTTTCGCTATAGGGCGCGTGTGCTCGCCAGACAGACAGAGAGAGACATAGAGACAGAAAGCAAGAAATCATCCCCCAGGGGGGATGGTCACGCCGCAATCCCTTCTCCTCTATTCTCCTCTTGGGATCTTGGGCACGCACGCACACGCGCCCGGCGTGAGTTTTAAGCCACCGGGTCCAGGACGCGAACTGCAGTCGACTACGTGGGAGACCAGCGACATAGCCGTTACACTAACTGCTGGTTCCCATCACCTCATGTGATTTTCAAGCCACACATGGGGGATGCAAACCGCACAATCAGCCATGTGGAATCCAGTGCCAGAACTACCACACCACCTGCTGGAACCTTCTGCAAACTGTCATTTGAGAATTGACCCATCTCTTACTGTTTCAGTGAGTACTCTGAAGTGTGGTCATTTGGTGTTTACTCCAAGGTCTGCGGGTGCTCATCACTGGAAACCAGACCAGCTAGGAAGCTGAACTAGGAGGGATTGTCTTGCTCAGCAAACTAGTCAAACACTGTAGGTTCACAGACCACTTTCAGTCCTTTATGTGAAACCTCGTAGCCAACTGTCCTAGAGTTCAGAATCATGCCAGGCTTCTTGGGAATTGTAACATATTTCTAACACTTCAAGAGGCCTGGGCAGCATGGTATAATATAACACATTTCTCTAGAGAAACTGGTGGATAATCACACTCAGAATAAAATAAAACTATAAGTAACATGTCAGTCAGGTTTTACTGCTTGAGTTATAATCAGATGTTGGTTTTTAGAGCTTTTTGGATTTTGGAATTGTGGGAAAAAGCCCTGTTCTTTCATTTTTGCTAGGAAGTCATTAGCCACTGTAGGTCCCATTGTTTGCCTGAAGGAATAGCAGTGGAAGCTTATGAAGGTAAGTTTGTTTCAGACAAGTGAAATAGGAAAAAAGAAAGAGGTTAAAAACTTTCAAGAATTAAGAAGCTTTCTGCCTCTCCCCTCCAAGAACTAGTAAAGGTGAGTGCAGGGTGGAGGGGATAGAAGAATGAGGGGTTTCGGATCTCTTGAAGCTTTGCATTTCTTCCTGTCAGACAGATTTGAGGAAAGGAATAGAAAGAACTCTTGTAAAGGACAGTTTACTGCTGCTCGAATGATTGCTTTGCTTTTTAAGAAAACTAGAATTTAGGAAATCAAAATCTTACTAAATTAATGACTACTTAAAACTAGATAAGAGGAGAACCAGCAGATAGCGTAATGGCTATGTCGCTGGACTCCCACGTAGTCGACTGCGGTTTGCGTCCTGAATCCGGTGGCTTAAAACTCACGCCGGGCGCATGTGCGTGCGTGCCCAGGATCCCGAGAGGAGAATGGAGGAGAAGGGATTGTGGTGTGACCATCCCCCCGGGGGGTGATTTCTCGCTTTCTGTCTCTATGTCTCTCTCTGTCTGTCTGGTGAGCACACACGCCCTATAGCGAAAATCTCTCCAAAAAAAAAAAACTAGGTAAGGGGACCAGCAGGTGACGTGGTGGTTAAGGCACTGGACACTCTCACATGGCCAACTGTGGTTCGAGTCCTGGACCTGGTAGCTTGCTCTTTCTCTGTGTCTCTCTCTGGCCAAATTAAAGTAAATGAGTGAATTAATAAAATTAAATAAATAATTTCTTTAAAAAAACTAGGTAAGTTGGACAACTGCCTAACTATCCTTTCTCACTGTGTATGCTGCCTTAAACACTATTTGTCTCTTGAGCATCTTTTTATGATGGTGGTAGTAGAATTCCTAATTATGTATTTTTTCTTTAAAGAATTATTTATTAAAATTTATTTATTGTTATTTTATTTGTGATAGGGCATGTGCACTCACCAGAAAAAGTGAGAAAGCCGTCAGGTTCAGGACTCAAACTGTGAATGGCCTTGTAGGAGTCCAGTGCCTTAACTACCATGCCAGCTGCTGGCCCCCTTAATTATGTCTTTTTTTTTTTTTTAATATAGTTTTATTTAATTTTATTTATTCATTCATTTAATTTAACCAGAGAGAGAGACAGAGAAAGTGAGAAAGCAAGCCACCAGGTTCAGGACTCAAACCGCAGTCGGCCATGTGGGAGTATGTAGCACGTTAACCACTATGCCACCTGCTGGTCCCCCCCCTTAATTATGTCTTAACTGTTAGCATTTACAGTAGAGCAGAGCTCTGGACTAGAGCAAAGCTGGGTTGTGAATGGGTTTATAAAAAGAAATGAAAGGGGGACCAGCAGTTAGCATAATGGCTATGTCGCTGGACTCCCACATAGTGGACCACGGTTTGAGTCCCGGACCCGGTGGCTTAAACTCACATCGGGTGCATGTGCGTGCGTGCCCAAGATCCCGAGAGGAGAATGGAGAAGGGATTGCAGCGTGGCCATCCCCCCTGGGGGGGTGATTTCTTGCTTTCTCTCTTTCTTTGTCGGTCTGTCTGGCAAGCGCATGCGCCCTATAGCAAAAATCTCTCTCAAAAAAAAAAAAGAAATGAAGGAATTACTACTGTTAGCTCCCTGACAGTGAAGAAGGCTGACTGCTGACCAGTTTTGTGATCTATACACATGAAATTCATCTGCTCCTGAATTATTTCCCCAAGACTTGGCCTTTATTTATAATTTTTTTTAGAGGTTTTTTGCTTTAGGATGCACGTGCTTGCCAGAGAGAGTGATGCAGCAAGCTGGAAAGTGAGAAATCATCCCCCAGGGGAGATGGTCACACTGAAATCCCTTCTCCCTCCCCTATTCTCCTCCCACAATCTTGGGCACGCATGCACACATACCTGGCATGATTTTGTAACCACCAGGTCTGGGACTCCAACTATGTTTGGCTATGTGATGTAACCGCTATGCCAGCTGCTGGTCTCCATAATTTTTTAAAACATTTTATTTTTTTAAAAGAATTATTTTATTTAATTTTATTCATTTATTTTTATTTGACCAGAGAAGGACAGAGTGAGAGAGAGATAGAGGCAGTGAAGGAAAGTGAGAAAGCAAGTCACCAGGTCCAGGACTCAAACCACAGTTGGCCACGTGGGAATCCAGTGCCCTTAACCTTCACGCCACCTGCTGGCCCCATCTATAGTTTTTGTTTTGTTCTGTTTTTTTTTTTTTTTTTTTTTTTTTTTTTGGGGGGTTTTTTTCCTTATGGAAAACATGAGCTTGCCAGAAAGGCAGAGAGACAGAAAGTGAGAAATCACCCCCCAGGGGGGATGGCCACACCACAATCCCTTCTCCTCCATTCTCCTCTCAGGATCTTGGGCACACACGCTCACGCACCTGGTGTGAGTTTAAGCCACCAAGTCCAGGACTTGAACCGCAGTCAACTACATGGGAGTCCAGTAACATAGCCATTACACTAACTGCTGGTCCCATTTTTTTTTAGGAGGGTTTTTGTTTTGTTTTGTTTTTTAAACTTATAGAGTGTATGTGCTTCCTAGAGAGCCAGAGTAAAAGAGAGAAATCACCTCCTGGGGGGGGATGACCATGCCACAATCCCTTCTCCTCCATTCTCCTCTCAGGATTTTGTTCACACACATACACGTACAAGGTGTGAGTTTTGAGTCACCAGGTCCAGGACTCGAACCACAGTCAGCCATGTGGGAGTCCAACACCTTAATCACTATGTCACTGCTGGCCCCTATTTATAATTTTTAAGCTCTCCTTTTATCTTACTCATTTAAATATTTTTGTTTGTATGTTTGATTTGGAGAGGTTTTTGCTATAGGGCGCGTGCGCTCACCAGACAGAGACAGAGGGACAGAAAGCGAGAAATCACCCCCTAGGGGGGATGGTCACACCACAGTCCCTTCTCCTCCATTCTCCTCTTGGGATCTTGTGCATGCACGCACACGCGCCCAGGGTGAGTTTTAAGCCACTGGGTCCAGGACTTGAACCACGGTCGACTACGTGGGAGTCCAGCAACATAGCCATTATGCTAACTGCTGGTTCCCTCGTTTAAATTTTTTTGACTGCCAAAGGTTTCAGACTTACCAGAGAGGGACTGGGGGGAGGGTGTGCACAACAGAGAGAAAGCATCCCAGCAAATGTGTTCACAACCCAATCTTTTTTACTCCAATTTTCTATCCTGTTGGAAGTGTAGACAAACTCACCCACACGTGCCCATTGTGTTTTTCAAGTCGCTGTGGCCAGGATTCAAACTGTGGTCAGCCATGTGGGATCCAGCTCCCTTAGTCACCAGGCCACAGGGCTGGCTCAGGTCCTCTTTTTGTTTACCCTCTCGTCCAATCGGCCATGGAGAGGTCTCCTGAAAAGGACCTTGAATTAGAATTATCAAGATGAAGGATGACAAATCACTGTCTCCAGTGAATTTTACTTTGCTCTCTCTTAGGTTTAACACCTGCATAGTAAAGAGAAAAGAAACATCTGCAACATAATGGCCCTCTGAGAGACTTTAAAAAAAAAAATACCTAAATGTACTTCTTCGACTCTAAGGTGCCATTAATTATAAGGCATACTATTATTACTTTTTGTACCCTAAGAAGGAAAAAGAAACTGCCAATTAAACTATTATGTGCATTTATTGTAAATCACATGACATTTCAGACCTGTTTACAATGTTCACATTAGAGTCAATGAAACACAGTATTTCCCTATACTTCCCACATAATTAGGTTAAAAATAAAAGACTTCAGAATCTCCATGGAATGTTTTTCCTACAATTCTTCTGGGATTTTCTCTCTTAGCTTTCATTACTTTTTGTGTCATTGAACTATTAATGAGAGTGGCAGGACAGGTCTGTGAATGATTGAAGGAAAAGTTCCCAAACAGGACATAATGTTGGAGAAGGTGCATTAAAATTGGGATCAGGGCCAGTTGGTGGCATGGTGCTTAAGGCATTGAATTCCCATGTGGCTGACCATGGTTCAAGTCCCAGACCTGGCTTGCTTTCTCACTTTCTCTTTTTTTCTGTCTCTCCCTGGTTAAATTTAAAAATAATAGTAAATGAGGGACCTGCAGTTGGCATAATGGCTGTCTCGCTGGACTCCCATGTAGTCAACCACAGTTCAAGTTCTGGACCTGGTGGCTCAAACTCATGCCAGGCGCGTGTGCGTGCGTGCCCAAGATCCCAAGAGGAGAATGGAGGAGAAGGGATTGCGGCATGACCCTACCCCGCGGGGAGTGATTTCTCGCTTTCTGTCTCTCTCTGTCTTTTGCTATAGGGTGAGCGCACACGCCCTATAGCAAAAACCTCTCCAAATAAAAGAATAAAATAAAGTAAGAAAGAAAAATAACAATAAATGAAATTAAATCTTTTTTTAAAAATTGGGGTGAGCAGGAAAGAAATCTCTAACACTAATCTTTAGGATTGGTACGAGTGACCACAAAATCACCCTGGGACAGGGAACCAGCAGTTAGCGTAATGGCTATGTCGCTAGACTCCCACGTAGTCGACCGCGGTTCGTGTCCCGGACCCAGTGGCTTAAAACTCACGCCGGGCGCGTGTGCATGCGTGCCCAAGATCCCGAGAGGAGAATGGAGGAGAAGGGATTGCGGCGTGACCATCCCCCCTGGGGGGTGATTTCTCACTTTCTGTCTCTATGTCTCTCTCTGTCTGGCGAGCGCACGCGCCCTACAGTGAAAATCTCTCAAAAAAAAAAAAAAATCAGCCTGGGACAAAAAGGGTAATGGGAACATATAGAGAGTTTCCTCATCCTGCTAAATAACCAAGAAGCTATGTAGGGACATAATATTTGGAGTCTGCAGTACTTTGGATAATCTCATCTGCTCTATTTATTACTAGTCAATGAAGCCTTCTGTGAGCTCACACTTCATTTTCAGATGCTTTTTGCAGGACATGGTCAAACTGGGTTTTGGGGGCTAGGAAGTACGTAGGCTATTTGCTTTCTGATTGGAAATTCCACTGGACACTGTTTGGTTGTTTTACAGTGGAACTACTGGACGAGGCGGGACAAGATCCAGCAAGAGAAAAAGCGTCTTCTGTTAGGTATGGAAAACGATGGAATGATTTTTCTACTTCTTGTGTTTCCCAAATGTACACATTAGGATAGGAAACCTTAACACTGGGCCAGCGGGTGGTGCTGTGGTTTAGGTGCTGGACTTCCTCGTGGCTGACCACGATTTGAGTTCTGGACCTGCTAACTTTCTCTTTCCTGTCACTCTCTCCCTGCCTCTCAGTCTTTCTCTGTCTCCTTCCAGTGAGTGCATATGCACTATAGGAAATTTAAAGATAATAGCAATAATAGATAAAATTAAATAAATAATAATAATAAAATAAATAATTCTTAAAAAGAAAGAAAGAAAACCTTAATAGTGGGACAAGCAGTTGGCATAATGGCTATGTCACTAGACTCCCATGTAGTCCACTGTGGTTCAAGTCCCAGACCGAGTGGCTTAAACTCAATGCTGGGTGTGTGTGCCTGTGTGCCCAAGATCCCGAGAGGAGAATGGAGAAGAAGGGATTGTGGTGTGGCCATCCCCTCTAGGGGGTGAATTCTCACTTTCTATCTCTCTTTCTCTCTCTGTCTTTCTGGTGAGCACATATACCCTATAGCAAAAACCTCTCAAAAAAAAAAAAATAATAACCTTAATATTAATTCACTAGCTGATTTCTAAAATGGCCTAAAGAAATAAAAATGAGAAGAAATACATGATGTTTTCTTCCATCTTTGGATAATACTCCTTTTATATATATGTATTTGGTAAAAGGCACATGTATTTACCAGAGAGAGACGGAGAGGGAACGAGTATACCCCTACGTGGGGAATGGTCATGCCATAATCCCTTCTCTATTTCTCCCTCCTCTCAGGATTTTGGACACACACACATACCCAGTGTGGTTTTGCTGTCAAGTCCAGGCCTCAAGGAGCACAGCTGACCATGTGGGATCTAACTGCATTTATTTATTTACTTATTTTAATTTTTTTTTTTTTTAGGTTTTTGCCATAGGGTATGTGTGCTTGTCAGAGAGACAGACAGTGAGAGGGAAAGTGAAAAATCACCCACTCCCCTCATTGTGGGGATGGCCACACCGCAATCCCTTCTCCTCCATTCTCCTCCTTGAATTTTAGGCAATTTTAATACACACATTCAGGTGGCTCTTAAGCCATCAGGTCTAGGACTCGAACCACAGTTGGCCATATGGAATCCAGTTACCTTAACTACCACACCATCAACTAGCCCTCTGTAGCATTCCTTTTTTTTTTTTTATTTGAGAGCAATTTTTGCTATAGGGCACGTGTACTCAACTGAGAGACAGAAAGAAATGAGAAATCACCCCTGGAGTGGGGGGGATGGCCTCGCCTCCCAATCCTCCATTGGGATTTTGGGCATGAATACATACACACCCACCCTGAGTTTCACGCCACCAGGTCCAGGTCTTGAACTGTTGTCGGCTATGTGGGAGTTCGGTACCTTAACCATTATGCCACCTGCTGATCTCTTAGATAACATTTTTTTCTTTTTTCTTTTTTTTTTTCTGTTAGAGCTACTTTTGCTATTGGGCTCATGTGGTCACCAGAGACACAGAGAGAGACAGAAATAGAGAAAGTGAAAAATCACCCGGGGGTGAGGGAATGTGACCACACGGCAATCCCCTCTTTCCATTCTCCTCTTAGGATTTTAGGCATGCATATATGCACACCTAGTGTGAGTTTCAAGCCACTGGGACTTGAACCACAGTTAGTCATGTAGGAATCCAGCACCTTTAACCCCCGTGCCACCTGCTGGCCCCAGCATTCTTTTTTTTTTCTTTCTTTTTATTAATAGAGATATTTGCTATAGGGTACATGTGCTCACCAAAGAGACATAGAGACAGAAAGCGAGAAATCACCCCCCAGGGGGGATGGTCACACCGCAATCCCTTCTCCTCCATTCTCCTCTCAGGATCTTGGGCACATACGCACACGCACCTGGCATGTTTTCAGCTGGTGGGTCCAGGACTCATACCATGATTGATCACATGGGAGTGCAGCCACATAACCGTTACTCCATCCACTGGTCCCAGCCCCAGCATTCTTTTTTTTTTAAAAGAATTATTTATTTATTTAATTCTATTTGTTATTTCTTTTCATTTTGACCAGACAGAGACAGAAAGAGAAAGAGAAGGCGAGAAAGCAAGCTTCCAGGTTCGGGACTCGAACCACAGTCAGTCATGTAGGAATCCAGCACCTGTAACCCTCATGCCACCTGCCAGCCCCAGCCCTAGCTTTTTTTTTTTTTTTTTTTTTTTGGAGAGGTTTTTGCTATAGGGCGCATGCACTCGCCAGAAAGAAAGAGACAGAGAGACAGAAAGTGAGAAATCACCCCCCAGGGGGATGGCCATGCCGCAATCCCTTCTCCTCTCCGGATCTTGGGCACACACGCACACGTGCCCGGCATGAGTATAAGCCACCGGGTCCAGGACTCAAACTGCGGTCGACTACGTGGGAGTCCAGCGACATAGCCATTACGCCAACTGCTGGTCCCAAGCCCCAGCATTCTTAAGTCATGTAAGCAGTAGATGAATGAGTCCTCTGTTTAGTGGAGGACCACAGTCTTTACCACTGATGTTTGGCAAAATCTGTGCATGGCATTAACAACAAAGAGCAAGTTCATCTGAGTGTTGTTTTTGTAGTTTAAATACAGGAAAAAACAGGATGGGTAAAATGAAAGATGAAGACTTAACTATATCTGAGCCTGACTTTCCTGCCCCTGAGGCACCAAGCACCTGTCTGCTGAGTGACCTCAAGTACAGCCCATCAGGTGAGTACTGGAGCTCAGACGTTTTAGGCTCTTTATTGTGGTTCAGAACTCTTTAGAGCTGATGTAACACTGAACACACACAAATGACTGATTTATTTATTTGAGTATGCATTATGGTCCAGTAATTGGGAATTCTAGAGTGTGGTTCCATCTTTGCCCTCAACTGAGCTCTGGTGCAGAAGACAGGTGCTAAATAAGATAAATAAGTAAAATGTAGAGTATGCTAGTGCCAGGTGCGAAGGACGAAATAATCAAAAGGAAAAGAAGTACGTGGAGAGGTTGATGTTACTGTTTTAGAGTATTCAGGACAGCCTCACTGAGATGGTAAAATTTAGGTAAAGGCTTGAAGAAGGTAAGGGATTGAGCTGTGTGGGTATCCGGGGAAATATATTTAAGGCTGAAAAAGAACAAATATGGGATAGGAACAAAACATAGGAACATGCCAGGATCTTGATAGAACAGCAAAGAGATCAGAGTCAAAAATGAATTATTTGTATATGTATAGGCTTGTTTCTGGATTTTCATTCTGTAACATTGATGTCTTTTTCTATTTTTAATACTAGGCTGTTTTGATTACTGTCAGTTTATGATAAATCTTGAAATTATATAATATTAGTCCTTCAACTTTGTCCTTTTTGAAAGTTTTATTGGCTATTCTAGCAGGGTTTTTGCATTTCTCTATGAATTTTAGAATTGGTTTCTCAATTTATAAACAGAATAAAAATCCACTGCAATTTTGATTGGGATTACACTGAGCCTGTAGAAAAATTTTGGAACTATTGGCATTTTAACAAAATTGAGGGGCCAGCAGGTGGCACAATGGTTAAAAGTGCTAGACTTCCCATGGCCAACTGCAGTTCAAGTCCGGACCTGGCAGCTTGCTCCCTGTCCCTTTCTCTCTCTCTCTCTGTCCCTCTCTGATCAAACTTGAAAAATAATGATAATAAATAAATTATTCTTTTTTTTTTAGAGGTTTTTGATATAGGGCGCATGTGAAGAAGTCTGACCAGCTCTGGTTCTGGCTGAGTGAAAAGACATGACATGGGAAGTGGAAGGAAGAAATTGTTAAAGGTTAAATAGAAATTATAGGGGGCCCTCTTGTTCTAGGCCCCAACAGACCAGACCAAAGTGGGGTCACTCATGCTAAAATGCCACATCATAAACTACAACTTTAAGAAAGCTGATGGGCCCCCTTTTACACCCTAAGTACAGGAAGGAACTTTACTGTGATTTTTTTTTTTTTTGGAGAGACTTTCACTATAGGGCGCGTGCGCTTGCCAGACAGAGAGAGACAGAAAGCGAGAAATCACTCCCCGGGGGGATGGCCACGCCCGCAATCCCTTCTCCTTCATTCTCCTCGCGGGATCTTGGACACGCATGCACACGCGCCTGGCGTGAATTTTAAGCCACCCAGTCCAGGACGCGAACCGCGGTCGACTACATGGGAGTCCAGCGACATAGCCATTACGCTAACTGCTGGTCCCAAGGTTCTTTGATTTCTTAGCAGTGTTTTGCAGGTCTCAGCACATAAGTCTTTCAGATTTCATATTTATCCCTAAAATTTTAATATTTTATATTACTATATATGTATTTTTTAAAGAATTACTTAATTTTATTTATCATCATCATTAGTATTATTTAAACTCAGTCCATCTGTGGTCAAATGAAAATAAATAAATAAATAAAGTTGAATAATTTTCTAAAAAAATTGTCAAGGCCAAAAGAATTCCGTAAGTGTGGGCATTGCCCATCTCCAGGACTCATTTATTTTAAATGTTTTTTTCTTTTTTTATAAACTTGCTTTTGAAAAGCACACGTCTTGAGCCAGCTGGTGGCATGATGGGAAAGGTGGCTAGATCCCACATGACCAACTGCAGTTTCAGTCCTGGACCCAACAGCTTGAAAAACACATTGGGCGTGTGCGTTGCTGCCCAAAGTCCTGTGAGGAGAATGGAGGAAAGGCTTTGCAACATTTCCATCCACACTGTTTCTCTATCTGGTATGTGCACGTGCCCTATAGAAAACTACAAACAAAAAAGTGCATGCCTTGAAGTATATGAGAAAGGAAATGTTACTTGATTATCATAGGAAATGAGTAAATAGTTTAGTTTATCTGGGTGGAGCTTTTGTTTATTCTTTTTTTTTTAAGAGAGATTTTTGCAGGGACCAGCTGTTAGCATAATGGCTATGTTGCTGGACTCCCATGTAGTCGACTGCAGTTCGAGTGCCAGACCTGGTGGCTTAAACTCACGCTGGGCGCATGTGCATGCATGCCCTAAATCCCAAGAGGAGAATGGAGGAGAAGGGATTGTGGCGTGGCCATCCCCCCTGGGGGGTGATTTCTCGCTTTCTGTCTCTCTCTCTGGCGAGTGCAAGTGCCCTATAGCAAAAATCTCTCCAAAAAAAAAAAGAAAGAAAGATTTTTGCCATAGAGTACATATGCTCACCAGAGGGACAGAGAGACAGAAAGTGAGAAATAACCACCCAGAGGGATGGCCACGCCAGAATCCCTTCTCCATTCTCCTCTTGGGACTTCAGGCATGCACTCACATTAGCCTGGCATGAGTTTTTTTGTTTGTTTTTGTTTTTAGAGATTTTTGCTATAGGGTGCATGTGCTTGCCAGAGACAAAGAGAAACAGAAAACGAGAAATCACCCCCAGGGGGCTGGCCACACCACAATCCCTTCTCCTCCATTCTCTTCTCCAGATTTTGGGCATGCATACGTTCCTGGCGGTTTTAAGCTGCCAGGTCCAAGACTTGAACCACGGTCGACCACATGAGAGTCCCGCGATGTAACCATTACGCCATCTGCTGGTCCCTTGTTTATTCTTAATCAACAAGCAGGATATTTAGTTCACTGTGTGGTAGGCTGACACAGATGACAATGAAATAATATTAGACATTTGAGTGCAGTAGAGTGGGAATTCATGATTTTGGCTAGAATTAGTGGGAGGACTATTCTGTTGCCAAGGAACAGAAATATACCTAATGCCATTCGTTCTTCTCCTGTAGAGGAAGAGGAGGTGACATACACAGTCATTGATCAGTTTCAACAGAAGTTTGGTGCGGCAGTAAGTATTTATTTTTCTGGGATAGATACCTAGAAATTAAATTGCTGGATCATATGGTAACTGTGTAACTTTCTGAGAATTGTACGACCACTTTCCAAGGTGGCTGCACCATTTTACATTCCTACCAACAGTAGGTGAGGGTTCTAATTTCTCCACATGCTCAGCACACTCCTTATTACCTGCCATTTTTTTTTTCTTTTTTTTTTTTTTTGAGAGGTTTTCGCTATAGGGCACGTGCGCTCGCCAGACAGACAGAGAGAGACATAGAGACAGAAAGCGAGAAATCACCCCCTAGGGGGGATGGTCACGCCGCAATCCCTTCTCCTCCATTCTCCTCTCGGGATCTTGGGCACGCACGCACACGCGCCAGGTGTGAGTTTTAAGCCACCGGGTCTGGAACACGAACCGCGGTCGACTACGTGGGAGTCCAGTGACATAGCCATTACGCTAACTGCTGGTTCCTTTACCTGCCATTTTGATTATAGTCTTTCTACTGGGTAAAATGAGGTCTCATGTGGCTTTCATTTGCATTTCCCTGATGGCTTGTAAACATCTTCCCATTAACTTTTTGACCATTTGTGTAACTTATTTAGAGAAATAGCTATTTTGATCCTTTGCCCTAACCCCCTTTTTGATTTTTGTCATAGGACACGTGCATTTGCAGGAAAGAGACAGAGAGAGGGAAAGTGAGAAAGCACTCCCCAGAGGGGATGGCCATACCACAATCCCTTCACCTCCGCTTTCCTCCCAGGATCTTGGGCATGAGGGCACACACTCCAGTGTGTTTTTCAAGCTGCTGGGTCTGCGACTCAAACCACAGAGTCAGCTATGTAGAATCCAGCAGCCTTAACCTCTACACCACCAGCTGGCTAGCCCATCCTTTGCCCATTTTTAAATTGAGTTGCCATAGTTCTTTTAATCATTGCATTGTAAGAATTCTTTATATACTTGGGGACCAGCAGGTGGTTAAGGATGGTAGACACTCCCACATGGCTGACCACAGGTCGAGTCCCAGACTTGGTGGCTTGCTTTCTCACTTTCCCTCTCTCTCTCTCTGAATGGGTCTCTCTCTGGTCAAATTAAAATAAATGAATGAATAAATAAAACTTAATAAAATAATTCTTTATTATTTTTTTTTTTGAAGAGGCTTTTGCTATAGGGCGCATGTGCTCGCCAGACAGACAGAGAGAGACATAGAGACAGAAAGCAAGAAACCACCCCCCAGGGGGGATGGTCACGCCGCAATCCCTTCTCCTCCATTCTCCTCTTGGGATCTTGGGCACGC